CAGGTGCTTTGATAAAAGTATTTTTTGATTTAAAATTGTTGAATAGTTTCCGTGCCTAATTAGGAGGACATAAGTGAAAAAAAGCAAGTTGTAAAAATTCAATTAACATGGATGCCATAGGTGCTTTTCCATTCATTCCAAAGATATTTTTATTTTAAACCCTTAATTAATTTTTCGAAAGAGAATATTGCTAAAATCAGCATTTTAATTACATTGTAGGATTAAAAATGAACAAGCCATTTATAACTAGATTATAATTGCCTTAAAAAAAGGTTTAATAAATCTAATACATCAAAATTTAATTGCGTAAAGAGTATTTAAAATTATCCTAATGTTAATATATGACTTTATTAAAAGAAATCTTTTCAGTACTGTTACAGTGATCCCGAATGCTATTCTTAAATTTTCTAAATTAGAGCTCTGAATTAAATAAACGTATGCGTATTGATGAATGCTAATTAAAATTTATTGTTAGCACTGGCATAATAGTATGCAAAATTAAAATACATTGTTGGCACCAGCATCATGATATGCAAAATTAAAATGTAATGTTGGTACCAGCATAATGGTACGCAAAATTACAATTTATTGTTAGTACCAGCATCATGATGTGCAAAATTACAATTTACTGTTAGCACCAGCATCATGATGTGCAAAATTACAATGTACTGTTAGCACCAACATTATGGTATGCAAAATTAAAATAAATTGTTGGCGCCAGCTTAATGATATACAAAATAAAAATTTATTGTTGGTACCAGCATAATGGTATGCAAAATTACAATTTACTATTAGCACCAGCATTATGGTATGAAAAACTAAAATTTATTGTTGACACCATCATCATGGTATGCAAAATTAAAATGTAATGTTGGCACCAGCATAAGGGTATGTAAAATTAAAATTTATTGTTAGCACCAGCATCATGGTATGCAAAATTAAAATGTATTGTTGGCACCAGCATCATGAAATTTGAAACCTTTCTAACAAAAAATTATTTTTCACACAACCCGTACAGATTGTTAATAGTGAAACATTTATTTGTTTTTCGTAAAATCCCCTTTGACAATGTTCAGTTGATTATATGGAGAGGAATTTGTCAAATTCAATTCCTTTTGTCCTGAATTTTAAATCATGTTTTTAGTGTAGATGCGTTCGAGATGGATAAAAAAAAGAAGGGCAGGGTTTTTTATTTTCTTTAAAAAAATATTCAATATTTTTACTTACTTTCAGCGTGTTCGAAGGAATGGAATCTGACAGGCTGGACATAGTTGACCAAAGCAGACATCTCTGCACCCGCTTCAGATTCTTTGGCTGCTTCCTGCACAATATGATTTCCATCAATAAAAAAATATATTTTTATGAGAAAAGGAATAAATTTATTTTATCTTATACATTCTATTCCAAAGAGATTTAATAGCATCGTTCAATATAATTACCAGCAATACGATTAGATATATTGAGTATGCTTCCTGCCCAATATTATTTCCGTCAATAAAAATGACATTTTGATGGTAAACTGAATATTAAATACATTTTTACTTAAATATTCTTCTGCAAAGAGATTTAATAGCATTGCTTAATATAATTACCATAAATAAAATTATATAAATTGAATATGCTTATTTCGTTAGTACAGAGAAATTTCCAACAGAGACCACCTTTATATAGAAACAATTTTGTTAAGTATCGATTTTTTTCATATGAATTTTTATTCCGTAGAATTAATTGAGGAAAACTTCCAACAATGGTTAGTTCCAGATTCTAAAAACGACCAATTTTAGCAAACCAAGTTTCGATAATCTTTTAAAATGTCTTGCAAAAAAATTGGGATTTATCGTTAAAAGTGAATTTAAAAAGCTTTTATTTTATAAATGTCAAAGAACAGGATTTTCCTCTATTTTCATATGAAAATAGTACTTGCTTTTCATGAAATATTATTGAATGTAAACTTCGAGACATGCTGGTTTACATTGGATTAATTTCCCTTTTAGGGGGATGTTTTAGTGATAATCTTTTAAAATGTTTTTCAATAAAATTTTGGATTTATTGTTAATGTGAAAGCGATGATTTTAAAAAGCATTTACTTTATAAATGTCAAAGAAAAGAATTTTTGTCTACTTTCAAGGGAAAATACTGAATGATTTGCATGCAAATATCACTGAATATAAACTTGGAGCCATATTGGTTCACATTGGATTAATTTCCTTTTTGTGGGACGTTTCAGTGAAAACCTTTTATGCAGATTATTAGATATGATATTATTATATTTTTACCCTGACATTTAAGAACATTTATTTATACTTGAAAAATAAATAAATAAAATAATATGGTTTGACATCAGAAGCAAACTGAATAAATATACTTTTTAAAATAAATGAATTCCAATAAATAGAGAGATTAAATAATCCACGTTTTATACTCTACGGTAGACATAATATATTCTATCGATGCTAATATTTAAAATAAATTAGTAAATATACAATTTTTTTTATATACAGATGATGAAATATCTTAGCAGTTTGGAAATGACTGGATGTTTGTTCATCTACTTTCAATAAATTGTAATATTTCTTGTTTTCAATTTTTTTTTAAAATATTGTCGAGTTTGCATGTAATTATTCTATATTTTTATACATATTTTAATATACACTCATTAGTTTTAATAAATATTTATATACGTAATAGTTTTTATTGCATATAGAGTAGTGTTTGCAAATTTTCCCATATGAATGCTGAGACGGTTAATGACAAAGAAAGACTGTTTTTTGTTTTGTTATCCTGCAACAGCTTTGGATGAGAGTTTCGCCGAAAAGAAAGGGCATGGTGTCATTCTCTGTGGAGAAGCGACTAGATAATTGGCAACGGCCAAATGGGGCATTGCGCGGATGCAAGATAAAATTTATTGACCAGATGGGGAACTCTTGGCTGTTCTGATTTGTACAGCCTTGTTTATGAGAGGTATGTGTAGGGCAAGTGTTCAGACATCTGGAGTTTGTCTGGTGAAAAAAAATGTCATCGGGGAATAAAATTCCAGCAAATGGTCAGAATGTCACACAGACCAGAAAAATTATTTTCCCCTTAAACTAATGACCCTCCGTATGCGGGCTCCTAGGTACAGGACGAATAGCCAATGAAGCGAGTTGAAATGTTGTATATTGATAGAACTTGGAAATGAAAACGACACAGATATTTTTTGAAACAGTAAAATCCGTGTGATGGCTTCTAGACACAGAACGCAGCCAATGAAGCAAGTTAAAATGTATACTGATAGAAAGTGAAAATGAAAATGACACAGAGACTTTTTAACACAGAAAGATCCGTGTGTGGGCTCCTAGGTACAGAATCTAGCCAATAAGGCGAGTTGAAATGTTGTACGTTGATAGAACCTGGAAAAAACTAAAAACGACATAGAGGCTTTTTAACACAAAAAGATCCTTGTGGAGCTCCTAGATACAGTACATAGCCAATGAAGCGAGTTAAAATGCTGTATACTGATAGAAAGCGAAAATGAAAACGACACAGACACTTTTTAACACAGCAAGATTGACTTCAATAATTAAAAAAAATGGGGGCTCGCGAACCCAGCAAAAGAGAGAAAAATAAGATAGTTTATGTTAATTTAGTTATTAAAGGTTGTTGTGGATCGCAACGTTGAGATTACTTTATTGATAATGTGTTTTGATTGGTAAGGGATATTTTGGTCTATGTTTTTAACTACAGATAATTCAAATATTTTAAGGATTTTATTTGCAATACCGCAATATCATTTCTATAAAAGCTTTTTTCTTAATTTTTATATAATCTTCATATGTATAATTCTTCTATACTTGCGTGTTTGTCACTGAACTCCTCCTAAACGGCTGGACCGATTTTGATGAAATTTTTTGTGTGAGTTTGAGTGGGTCCCTGGATGGTTTAGATTCACATTTGGACTTAGTAAGTGGCGCTGCGATCAGATTCCAGGAATTTTTTTTAATTTCAGGGCAGGACAACGTCTGCCGGAACCTCTAATAATATATGTATATTTCCAACTTTTGGACTTGCACATAATAATGAAAAAAATATATCCATGTAATTTACAGTTCATTTATAGTACCCATATCTATGGTTTAAAAGGAAACCCTCGGAAAAATGGAACAAAGGTTAACTGTAGTAAGCAATTGCAGTTGAACATTATCGATTATATTTGCAAATTGAATGCACTTTTTCACCCTCATTTCTCACCTCTGCGCCCTCCAAGACCTCCGGTTCGTCCTCGTCTGATCCAATGTCCGTGTCGGACTCCTCCGCTCCTTCTATCTTGTCTTCTGAGGCCCCGCTGGGTTCATTCTCATCCCCGGGGCTGCTCACCGAGGAGCTCTTGATGCGCTCTGGGGTGAGGGGCTCCTCGCGCCCCACTGAAGACTTGGGGACGCGGTTCTGGGCAGCTAGCGAAAGAAGAAAATATGACAATTAGTCCCTTCGCACAAGAAGCAATTTAAACAAAACATGGAATTCCAGTAAAATGTGAAAAATATTTTCCATTCTTATTCACATCAAATAGTAAACAATCAAGTCAACAGGATTCATACCAAATGCTAAAGAATCTAGATTTAAGTTGGATACATCAAAAGATTCACTAACCGAATACTAAAGAATATAAACTTATAACCATAAGGTATATTCTTTAGTATGCGATCGGTGAATCTTTTGATTGACATCAAGTATGTTGTTGTTGTTTCTTATCCCACTTGGCTGGCCAAGCCCACGGGCCCATACGACTCATGATTGAAGGGGAAGGAAGCAGCTTCAGTTGTGATGGAGCACCTGTAGGTAGAAGTCTGACTTTGGCTCCGTGACTCTCTTACAGTCATAGGAGACCGGGACCTACGGCTTAAAGTGGATTCCGTACCACTAGAAACATCCATGACACAACCGGGATTCGAACCCGAAACCTGGGGCACCGAGCGCCAGAGCGCTAGACACTCGGGCATTCAGGTCCCAAATGTGTGAATGCCAACGGCACGCGGTGTTCCCAGGTTACCAAGTACTGACCGCGCCCAATGATGCTTGACTTCGGTGATCTAACGAGAACCGGTATATTCAGCATGGTATGGCCGTTGATTGACATCAAGTATTAAAGAGTAAAGCCGGATGCACAAAACTTACTGAAGAATCCAACTGGATTCACAACGATGACAAGAGATTTTAGATTTAACTTATATTTACTTCAAGATTTAAAAGCTAAAGCTCTGGTTTCATATGTTTATTGATATAAACATATGAAACCAGATATAAACAGATTCAATAAGAAGATAAAAATTGTTTTCTGACATTGTTCACACTGAAGACTAAACATTCCTACAGAGGCATTGGAATTCGAGCTTCTTTTTTTTTTATTTAAAAGAATAGCTCCCGATTCTTCTCAGATGTCTTTAGTCAAGAAAGATAAATTTGTAGTTGAATTCCTAAGACAGATATTACAATGTAGGGTATATAATCTAAGATAGGTAATATAATAATAAGCTTGCTTTTGATGAATTGAAATCCCTATTAATTAATCTTTTCTAATTTTTGTCGGGAAAAAATAATTAAAAACATTTTTGTGAGGAAACACGGTTCTTTTTCAAATCGAAATAGAATTTGATTGGAATTAAGGATAAATGGATTGTTTAGACAGTCAAACCGTTTTATTGACTCTTCTGATTCCAAGTCTTGAATTCTTGGTATTAATGCAAATTCAATGAATAAATAAACCATCAAAAATCTAATGGAATAGAATAATGCAAGGAAAAAGTTTTAAAGCGAAATGATCAATTAATCCACTACTGATAATAGACAATTTCTCTTAGGAACAAAGTAAAAAGTAATTTTTGTCGATTAACTTTTCTTATTTTTATGTTATTTTATATTTACAGTATACATTTTTTTACTTTTCTAAAGATCTGATTTTGCAATTGATACCATTTGCATTTAATTTGAACCATAGCATTTGAAATTTGATAGTTAGTACCTTATATATGTATAGTCACAAAAGTTAACGTGCATCTATTGAAATAACAAGAAATAAGACATTCTAAATATTTAAAAAATTAAATTTATGCAAATGTTGCACTTTTGTAAGTTTAACAATATTTTGTAAAATGAAGTGACAAAGGCTAAATAACCTCTCCAGAATATGCAAAAAAAAAAAAAAAAAAAAAAAAACTGTAAACTTGACATCAAAAAATTCCTCATAGAGGAGGTGCTTTTTTAGAACTTCATATTATTTCACTCTTTAAACAGGAACGAAAAAAACCTTACATATTAGTATTGAAAAAGGAAGAGCATAAGTTGAGCAATTTGTGTTGTTACTCTTCCAGAATTTGATAATTAAGGTTTGGCTTGACACTCTACGTTCATTTATTGCCCACTTTGAGCTAATTAGATCGTGACCTACAGTTTTATCGTGAATTCCAAATTACTAACAATCATCCATGTCGCCGCCAGTATTCGAACCTGAAGCACCAAAGGTCAGACCTCAAGCCAATTGGCCATCAGACCACTTTGATAATTGAAAAGGAATAAAAAAAATCTAAGCAGAAATTGCAAAAACTGTTTGTAAATGTTGGTCTACAGTCCAAAATATTATAAAGAATTACGAAAAAAATATGGATATATTTTTAATAAACCTTGAAGTGAACGGCCAAGGATTTTGAACTATCGAGAAATGTGAAATTAAATCTAAAACTGTCCGCTACTCAAATAAAGGAATAAGTTGCGTTTACAACTAGTAAGAAGGTTAATGCTGAAAATGTTCGAAGAATCCTTCGATTTGAAGGATTTCCTGGGAAAGTTCTGTGAAGAAAACCGTTCATATCCAGAAGAAATCGATGAAAAAGGCTGAACTTTGATAGCGAGTAAATCCATAAGGATTTTCCTTTTCACCGATAAGAATAGATATAATATTTTAGGAAAATACGGACGTTTTAAAATTTGATGATGCAGAAACAAAAAATTGAAAATGTCATCCAATGGTGAAGCATGGTCGAGGATAAATGATGGTTTGGGGAGTCAATGTTTTCTGTTGGTGTTTGAAAATTAACCTTCAATGAAGTCCAAACATTTAAATATATTGCAATATAATGTGTCTGCGTTTGTAGATAGCTCACAGTTTTGGAGCCAGGGGAACCTATTAGCATGACAACGATTCAAAACAAAGAGCTAAGATTGTAACAGAAACCAATACAAAATGAGGCCTGATGGCCAATTGGCTAGCACTCTGGCTTTTGGTGCCACAGGCTTCAGGTCCGAATCCTGGCGATGGTATGGATGTGTGTGAGTGGTTCGGAATCCACTTTAAACTGTAGATCTCGGTCTGTTTAGCCCTCGTGTGCACAAAATGACCGTAGAGCGACAAACCAAACCAAACCAAACCAAATCTATACAAAATACCGGCACAGCTCCGTACCCTTCCTCACTCACAAGACTTGAAGGCCATTAAATGCATCTAGGGGATGAACTTGACAAAAGAGTTAAGAAATACAATTCAATTACAGAGATAAACGATTCTTTGCAAGCTTAGTTTGAAATTATGCAAGATGCTGCACATATTCTTATTGCTTCATCGCATAGGTTTGATTTGATTTGTTGTAACTTACTGTTTAACCGACTGGGACCTACTGTTTAACGTAGGTTCCGAACTACTAACAAACAGGCATGCCACCTCCAGGATTGGAATCTGAAGCCTGTGGTACCAAAGGCCGGAGCGCTAGCCAATCGGCCATCAGGCTGCTCAATACAGGAGATTACAAGCCATCATCGATTCACAAGGAAAAGTTACACAATATTAATATTATAAATTATTTATTAATAATATTAAAATATATTATCTTTTATATACACCATTCCAGTATAAATACAATAGCTTTAAACATTCGAATTCACTAATACAAAAAATTTATGTGAAAATGAAACTCATTTTTTTAAATTCTTAATTCTCTTTCTTCTAGTCCTTCGTTTTTTTCTCAAAACTAGAGAGAGAATAATCATTGCTTACCATAAAAATAACACTTAGCGGGGAATATTGATCAGAAATTCATAAAAAACGCCCACTCAACTGTGTTTTATTGGAGGAGAGAAGAATAAACAAATAGAAGCGCAGTCACCCCCAACCCTAAAACCTCTGTTCTAAAATTATTGGATTGGCGCTTCTTTTTTTTTTATTTATTTGCATGGAAAACAATCGATTCGGGCACACCGCACCAAAGAAATATCTCCTTTCTTCTTCTCAGAGATATTGATTTAGAAATGCTTTCGAATCCGTGGCCTTTTACTCGACTCGGTGTTCATTATAGTAATGGAAAAATGATTTTCATTTTTGCAAAAGCGCGCCGCATTTTTCGAACGTGAGATAACATAAATAATTTATTCGGATTTCAGGTGCCGCAGATTTATTTTACAAAGCGGAGTCTTGCGTTTGTTTTCGGCGTGGTTCATTTGAGAATGATTTGTATTGTTACGTTTATTTTCGTTGCAATAAGTTTTTAAAAAAATGATGATGATGATATTTCTTTTCTTTTGCTAAGTATCGATTTGTTTAGAAAAGATTTAAAACTTCTATTGAATAAATTAATTTTAAAAATATCAGTTTTAATTGTATTATTTGACAATAAACGTTTTGTTTGAGCTGAAAAGATAAAAATTTTTACAAGTGAAATTTTTATAAATATGGAAAAAAATTTTTTTTAATATAATTTCCATAAAATCCTCTTGGCTCTTAATTACTTGGCAACAAAAATGAATTTTTTAACTCTATTCTTAGAAATTGCACAAATATGTAATCTCTGTTGTTGTTACTGTTGTTATAGAATCCTTCATGGAAGGAGGGAAGAGGGGGGGGGGCAGTTTCTGTTTTAGATGGACCACCCGTAGGTAGAAGTCTGACTTCTGCTCCGTGTCGCTAAAGGAGGGCAGTTTCTTCCGGGTGGATTTTTAGGAGGAACCCCGCATTTGCGTATCGTATGGGAGAAAATCCGGAAAGCTCCCACCGACTCACGAGGCAAGATGCCGAACATCACAAACGCCAACATGCCTCTTCGTTTTTTCAAGCTGTCCACAAAAAAGCTGCCAGTGGATTGAACCTCATGTAAATTATATTCATGATTTATAACAATTTAAAGCATCGCGATCTATAAGTAAATATCAATCTGCTTGTTTATAGCAATTCTTAGCTGCATCTAATTTTCACAAAATGAGTATAACAGTTCCCAACTTGATTCAAATAATATTTTATTGGCTTGTTTCTATTAATATGTTGGTTCTTAAGTCATATATTTTAATCTCAATAAAGATAAAAAATGTCAATATGTCGTTGGTAACTTGCAAAATAATACGCAGGAGAGTTCGAAGTCTAACTTGCCAGCCACGTTAGTTACACGGTTTTCAGAAATCAAGATATTCTATGATGCTTATGACAGCATGTGTAAGTATATCGCATCAACAATCTAGCACCTTCATGGAGTTTCCTGCTTTTATTCCATTCGACACAAAAGTACCACTAAATGTCCATTCTGAAGGTGATGTCCTCTTTACATCACTCGTTAATGGGTTGTTCGTCATATTTGTAAAGAAACATCAGACCCACCAATTTTGTTCGAGGACAAAAATTATATAAGTACAATACAGCAAAAAAAAAAAAAAAAAATATCAGTGAGAGAGACTGGACTGCTTACCAAAGCTCTTAAAATATTAAGATCCTGAAAGAAATGGAAATTTGTTAAGAATTTCAATTTATCATACATGAACATATTCACTTATTTAATCAACGTAATTTTAATACAGCCCTCATAAGATGCTATACTGGCCTTGCACGATATCTCAATTGTGGAGGCAACCACACAAGGAGAAAAATCCCTGAACCAATTTGTATCAACTGCCGAAACAAACGACACATTGCCTCTTGGAGATGATGGCCTACTTTCCCAAAGCCGCAATCCAAGAAAAGAAAAGTCCCCTGCCGTTTTCTGTCATTTCAAAACCTAAGATTTCTCTCTCTAAATCTATTTCTCCATTGATGCCATTTGTTAAAGCGACAGCGCTCCAACTCCTACTAACCAAATATGTGTATCTCTCCTAATACA